CGGGCCCCTACGGACTCTGGCCACACGGACCCGAAAGCCAGACAGCGCTTCCCGGGAGCCAAGTTTGTTGGGTGGAGAAGCCCGAGCTGATGGGGGAGTCCACCGGCTCACCAGTGTCCCCTAAAGGCGCTGCCCAGCCAGGCCGGAGAGAGTGGCACAAACGAGCCCTTATGAAAGCTGCAGTTCTGAGGCATGTGGCTCAATGAAGGGGCTGGTCTCTCTCGGCTCTTAACTCGAGGGGCCTTCCGCACTGGCATTGTTTGGGTTTGTGGGTTTGTTTTGGTTTGGTTTTGGCGCAAAGTCCCCTGGCTTTGCTCCCTGCCAGGGGTCCTGAGAGTTTCCCTTGTCGCGCATCCCTGGTGGCTGCCCAGAGCGCAGTGGAAGGAGGACACCAGAGATGGAGACAGAGGGGGACAGCATCTTACTGACCCACATGCGACGTCACAGCTGCCCTCCCCTCCCTTAAGAGGAACAGGGTGTAGTGCTGGACCCACAAACACAGCTCTGTCCTTGGCAGGAGAGGCAGCTCCTTTGCCAAGTGGTATCCCTCCCCCTTGGGCATGGTTCCAGCTGCTGCAGGACCCAGCCCACGCTGTGGACTAAGGGCCTCATGCAGGGAGCACCTGCTGCTTCTGGGAATAAGCCACCATGGGCAGGTGCATCCAGGCTGGTGTCTTGTGCCTGGCCACTTCATCATGGATACAGCTGGGGGGATGCTGCAGGGTGAGGGCCTTTTGCAGCTTTGCCTGCTCACTACATCCACGCTGTGTGGGGGCTCCCCACCGGGGAAATCCTTGGTCCTGTGGCCAGGTTGCGCACTGAGGAGGCCCATCTGGGAGGGAGCTCCCCATCCAAGCTCTGTGAAGGGATGCTCCGTTACCACTACCACAGCGCCACGGTGGGGGCTCGGCTGTGTCACTGCAGATCTGCAGCTCTAGAATGCTCCTCCCAGCTAGGGGGGGCGGAAACTCTGGCAGCAGAGGGGAGGGGTGGGAGGTGCAGACACCCCTGCATGGGCCCCATGTTTCCTCAGGTCTCCGTCAGGGCCTGTGGAGCAGAAGTGCACTGTAGCTAGCCCAACAGTCCTTACTCAGGTGACATTCCCACCCCAGCCCATGGGAGGGGTCAAGCATCTCAGATTCCAATCCTGCAGCTGGATATGCTTGCACCGGAGAGCAGGGATCCAACCTTAAGTTGCTCCAATTGCAGCCCCCGGGGCATTGCGAGTTCCAACTTGTGATCAGCTTAGAGCCACTGGATTCTCCACGGCCAGGCACCCAGTGCCGTCTGTCGACCTGCCAAAGGCGCTGTCAGATGCTGCCATTCTGACTTGTGATTTAAACCCCGGTGCAAAGGACTGCACTAGGTGCAGGAGAGTGGAAAATCAAGCCTGGTCATTTGCCCCACAGTGGCTTGCCCTGTCATCTGCCTGGCTCACCAGAGCTGCAAGCTTCCCCGTGACTTGCTCAGCAGCCGTGTGAAATACCCAAGCAGAGGTTTGAAGGGGTCATTGGGAGGGGAAGGTGCTTAGCACCCTATAGGATTAGGACCCTCTTCTTGGGACCTCGCTGTGACCCAGTGGAATCTTTCAGCAATAGACTCCAAGGCCGAAGGGCCCCAGCTTCCCAAGAAAAGTATTTTCTACTGGTACTTGAAAAGCCTCCAGGCACTTGCAGCAAGAGCAGAGAAGAAAGGGACACTTGACATTCAGATGCTATTACAAAAAAATCATGAACCTTGCACCTGGATTGTTCTTACTGGCGGAAACACCGTAGATCTGATTAGGCTTTGCCCTGCTCTCCCCTACACCAGTGCCAATTGCTTCTGGGCACGGCTTTATACTCACACTAGCCAGGCAGAAATGACCTCACATCGAGCAGTCTGACCTTCCTTTCCTTGCAAGCCCCCCTGCCTGCTGCTCCTGTCAGTGTTGTTAAAAGAATTGATTGGAAAGAGCTGTTTTTAATTTTCTAAACTTAAAGCCCCCCTCTAGCCGAGGGGTAGCTCAGCTTTGGTCAGGAAATAGGAATTCTACAGAGAGGCAACTCAGGAAAGCGAGAAATGCCTTAGCGCCACGCTTTTAAGATCAGCATTGTGTTTCCCTCCCGTCGGGTTCCGCTGAAAAATGCAGATTTTTCTTTCTGCATTATTTGGCCTGTCAGTTTGTGCCCAGCTACGCCAATCCCAGATTCTGATTTTCATGAACAGAATACATTGGGACATGGAAAACTCTTGAAGGAAGTAGCCTTTGGGCTTTAAAACCAGTCAGGTTTGGCTTCAAACGAAACTGACAATTGAACATATGCCATTGGAATTCTAGGGAAGGCATCCAGGACAAAGATGGGAAGTCAGAAAGTGCATGCACTCTCAGACCCACCTAACGGGGGAAAGGAGGGAGGGAAGAGATCGATAATGCAGAAAATTCATACCTTTATTTTTTATTAAATGGGAGTTTGCCCCAGCTTTTTCAGGATCTATTTGAATTTTATGTGATCCATCAGATATTTTCCAATGTTAGACATAAATGTCTGACTAGATCTCTCCAGTCCGGGGGCTGGATTCAGAGCCCAGTAATGCCAGGGTAGATCCAGAATAACTTCCCTGACTTAAGTTGAATGACTCCATATTTGCACCAATGCTACTGAAGAGAATTTTGCCCCCAGTGGTTTGTGATAGACTCCGGGCATGAATATAATCAATGATAACACTCTTTGTAGTAAGTGCTGCTCTTGATAAAAAGTATTTGCAGTGTCATACCCCGGATGTAGTAAAAGCTGCTGCTCTGACTATGTGTAATATGATTAAGCTATTTTAAACAGCATATTTATCTAGCCTTTATTTTTCATTAAAAAAGCAGCAGCTCTCTTCATGAGTGATCCACGAGAATTTGATGTCCTCGTGCAATGGCTGAAGTTACTAACCGTAACAATGCAAAGTGTCATTCCTGGAGATGATGTCACATGCAGGATTTCAAGCGTTTACTGCTTTTGATAAATGAATTTCAGGTGCTGTGCTGTATCAAAATGTCTTCAGAAACTACCCAGAATTATGTCCCTACAAGACCAGAAAGCAAAACATACGTAGATATGAACTAGACAATATGAACATAAGACTAATTATAAATAGCAATGTATAGGAGAGACAGTGAGTGGTAGAATGTAAGCCATTATTTTAATGTTTGCATTTTTTGTTGTCTGATTGTTTGTTATTATGTAGCAACAGTATTACATATGTCTAGCGCCCAGTCCAACTGCCTTCTGTACATGGGGCATCCTACCAGCTTTAGTGGATTACTACAGTGAATAAAGGCTGCGGGACCATACCCTTTTCTGAAGTGCTCTGGGATATGTAGATGAAAATTATTTGAATGTGTACTTCATTTCTTATATTGTTACCTAACATAGATACCAGATTTCTTTCTCTGCATGCAATTGTGGGGAGCAATTTCCTTGAATTTTCTGAACATTTCAAAGAATATTCATTTTTCTTCAGCTTTACATTTTTTGTTACTAAGATTACATTTTTCTTTTGATTTATTTCTGCAGATTGTTACAGTGATAGTAGGGCCCAATCCTGTATCACTAAAGTCAATGGGTATTTTGTCAGTTATGACGCTAGCAGCAGGATTGGACCTTGACTGAACTTTTAAAGTAACAGTCTTAGATAGCTGAATTATAGGGCTTTCTCTCTTATTTCTCTTTTGTAAATTGTATCAGGTAAGGGAAGAGGTCAGGGCATTGATTGCTTGGGTGATTTGCAAGTAATGCAGGAGAGAGAGGCAATTGGATTGTAGCTGGCGCGGGAAAATGATCATTGATTATTTTATATAAATACATAGAAAATAATTTTGGTGCATAATTATTATTCCCTGTGAGATAGTCTTTTTCGGGGCTCATTATTATTGTGTGCCTGGGATGTTTTTAAAACCAGATTTCTAGCTGCAGCAAAGGGACTTTTATTTTTTTAAACCTCCCAGATTTGCCTACGTGAAAGAGATGTTTTCCAGCAGCGATCTGTGAAGGCTGCAGGAGGTAATTCTTAGAAAGGCTGGTCAAATATGATTCCATATTGGTCTGGCTTAATTAATAGTTTGGAGAAATTCTTGTTTCAGTGAGAGGTTGAGAGGAAGAGCTGACCTGAATTATTATAAGGCCATCGAATGAGGTATGAGAGGTTGCAAGGTTTGTGCCT